TGGGGCACAATATTCTTCCCTGCTGGAGGTATCGATCCTGTATGCCCTGCCGATTTGTCGTACCACTTGCCTTCAAACCCCTCCCTGGCAGTCATTCAGCCTCATCGTGCAGTTCTCTGGACTTGCTGGCCAAGTAGAATTACAAGGCAAAGGCAAGAAACATTGTACCTTCATTTTATTTCTTGTTATTTCGTGCTCCATTTGTTTCTCCGGGGTCCATTCAGTATGCTTCTTGTCAACCTTATATTTGATTTTACGGTAAATCTTGGGGACCGTAGTAACTTTTCTGAAATATATAGCAAATTTGAATCAGCTGTTGAGAAAAAGAGACCTGCACTTGAATGAATCAATTTGAGCAGAATTTTCAGCGATCTTACTGTCGAATGTTCGTCATGGCTTTGATTCTGTTACGCAGTTCGCCGACACTTCCCTCGGGGAATGATGGCGGGACATAAAGCACTGCGTTCGAAGGCCTAGAAATTCATTCTATATAATGAAAACTAATGATGTAGAAAAATATCTGATTGGTAAAGTTGTCACCTCTCGCAGGTCCCCCACCCCTCAGACTCCCAGTATCTAATCGAAAAGGCGTATAGGGTCGAGCGCCAAGCACGAAAGAATATTGTGCCTATTAGCAGGCGCTGCGTGGCGTCTTCCAACAAGGGCACCGTTATAGCGCCTAACCAAGGTGCAACATGCCGACCCAACGCCCACTGCAACCGCCCGCCCACAAATGGCCGACAGTCACATCGACGCTGGTACTCTTATCGCTTCATTTATGAAGTTCAGTTGATATGAAACGTTGCTACAGGGACATATGAATACATGTATGAATCCATCTCTACCAAAGCGGTTATTGGCACGATGCCAATGGGAGACTGGCCCGAAAATGCTCGTCCAATTACAGTGCAGAGCGAAAGGCTTTTCCGCAGTCTTTTGGGCGTCAAACTTTGCCTTTTGTCATAAACTGCGCCGGGCAATGCAACGAGATGTGCTATCGAAACCTTGCTGTCTTACTGCCAGTATTCATTCTTAACACTCATAATAAGTTCACAGTCGTCCTTTATACCATATTTGCGTATAGGGAGATTATCATTTCTGAAAATAGAAGGCTCATTTCCATACTCATGAAAGTACCGAACAATAAGTGACACACTTCAGTTCTACGCCTTTGTAAAGAAGAATAATTTTGTCCGGCAAGACATCGGTAACTTCTGATACGTGAGTTTTCACTTCACTTACTCGACACATTGAAGAAACCAAAATTTTGGCCTGAAACCTGATCTGATCTGGATCGCTTCCCTCAAGAGAGCAGCTCTTAGGGACTTAATTGTTAACGTAAAGACAGTAGAAACTTGCTGACATGACCTGCCTTAAATCCTCACCCCTCCGGACAATCGCCTGAAGGCTGAGGAACGGTCTCGCTTTTTATTGACCGCAGGGTACAGCATCGTTGTGTGAAACAGCAGAGCGGCGTCGTATTTTCCGCTGGGGAGGGGGGGTGTAGCTTTGAGAGAAATTTCCAGCTCTGGGAAAATATTTTTACCGGTTGTTGACTTTTTGCGTGATTTTCCTTTTTCATGTGCGTTATTTACTATATACCCCTCCTCCGGCTGGACAGCAAAATTTTGGGTGAAAAACTGCAAAATGTGGGGAAATCGGTTGGTGTTGGGGGAAGAGAGGGGGTCGACGAGACACTCCCTCGGGAGGGGGAGGGTCGGACTGACACCACCACTTCACGCATCACGATCCTGTACCCTGATTGACCGTTTCAGCGGGCGACACAAGAAAACCTGTTGTTCCCTGAACGTTCCCACATAAACGGGTAACTGTTAAGTCACAGCCACCCTTTGTAAAACCAAATCAACTTCATGGCCACGCCTTTCCTAAGCGTCGTGACATGGAGTGTGTTTACATTCGGCGCTTGAAGGCTGAAGAGCTTGCTTTTCATCATCATCATACCAAGGGAGCCCCTACTGACAGGTTGTGATCCTGCTTTTGAATCGAATGTTGTTCTCTCAGCCCAGATTGATTAAAAAAGAAGAGTGACCTTCTTGGAAAGTTAAACAATTACCCATGTATAGCAATGGTCATCCACTGAAGATTTAGTCATCAACCTTTCCACGCTCCCAGGGTCTCTCCAGAATATTTGTGGACTCACGAGTACCTCTCTTCTCAGCGACAAAAAGTGTCCTGGTGACAAAGCAGTCGCAATAGCTGGGTGTAGATTGCGGCTTCACACATCCACGAGAAGAGGAATAAAAAAGAGCTCCGACTCGGGGAGGGGCATTTTGATCTTTATACTTCATATCGATCTGCCGACTTATCTAGACAGCCTCTTCTCGAGTTGACAGGTTCTGCTGTGGCTACGACTCTGCTCGAGCTTCACAAGAGTTCACAGGTTTCGCCAGAGTGCCAAAAGTAGGGAAGTAATGCTAGTACAAAATGCACCCCCCCCCGTCGGTGAACTGCGCCATAAAAAGGTTTCTAGTTCGTGAATGACGATGGCATAACGGTTGCTGCCTCGCGCGACAGCGCGGCAATTTACGATTGTCTTGACCGTGTCCCATAAACAAACATACTCTTCATTCTTTGCCATCGAGGTGGAATGAGGGAAACAGCAGGCGTCGACACGTTTCGTACAAGAAGAAACATCCACAGGTTCAAAATTCAGGTATATTCGAATTCAAATTGTAACATTACCTCTTCAACCCCTTCCATAAGACTAGTGACTGTTAGCTCGAGTATATCGCCGAGTTTTTCTCTGTCTGGTGACTTGGACTGAGAGCGTTGTCCTGCTACAAGTATGCTTTTATTATTTTCGGTAGATGTTTTCAGAAATGTTCGGAGTGTAGCGTTACGCTTAAAGGCAGCTGGCACGATAAACGCAAGGGCGAGTAGGATTAATATACTTGACAGGATGGAATTCCGCGCCACTAAGCACTGCAACGCCTTTCCCAAGGAAGGTACCTTTGTAGTTCTATCAGGCAACAACACGCCGACTTGAACGCTCTCAACGCCCGCCCCACAAATGTCCGACCGATCCTGACGGTCGCATCGCTTCATTTGCAAAGTACAGTGAAGCGAAGGCCCGCGGTGCTGCACGGACATATGAGTACATACGTGCAGCCTACCTACCATAGCAGTTGTTAGCGCCTACGGAAACCCGTCCGAGAAATTGGTCCGTGTATCAGTTAGAACAAAGGTTTTCTTCGCAGGTTTTCGACCATTTCACTTCGCTTTTTGGCTACTTTCCCCAATATAAGCGCCCTGCCAGCAGTTAAGGCCGAGTACCAAATACCATGCCATATGCCTTCAA